AAAAGAAAAAAGAGTGCAAGTCATATAGAGAGCTTTATTTTAGCACAAGTGAAAGTTGCGACAAGATACTGATATGCAGTCTTGTCTTGGAGGGAGACACAGAACATGTAATGCATTACTCAACCCAAAATATGTACATGAATAAAAAATGATTGCCTGCTGTGAGTTAATTGGTTTTTATTGTTGCAATGAGAGATGGCAACACGTTGCTATTTACGTGGGTTCTTTTCAGATCAGCATTTAAGGCTTGTACGTTTTGCAGTAATATTCTCTCCTCTGCTGTCTGTTTCACCGTGTGTGCTTATCTGTTTCGCTGTACACATGGAGTGGAGCAGATAAGACCATCAATATCATGGCCTGTGGTGCATGTCATACACAGAACACGAATACGATGTAACTGAAATGAATATATTAACTTATAAGCACGAATACTCAAAGATATTGAGTCAGTATTAGTCAGTATCTGATGTAGATTGGTGGGTTTAAAAAGCCAAATGGGTTAGACCTCCTTTCTGTTAAGACATTAACATTGTTTCTCATGTTTCAGTTTTATTGCTTTACTGGATACTTATTAGTTATTTTCATTTTCCTGTGATTAAGACACTTGTTTGATGGGACAGTTCAGAAGAAATATTTTAATGAACTTTTATTTTGATGATCACCAGGATATAAAAACTGCAGGTATTGATTCACCAATGAAGTCAAATAAAAATAAAAAATCCTGAAAATGTTTGACTTTGAACCAAAAATAAGGCTTTAAAAAGCTTTTTTTTTTACCTTGGAAATTCTGTTTCCAAGGGGCGATCGTGGAAGGTTGACTGGGGAGTTGAAATGTAGGCAGTTCCACATTGAAAACCCCTCATGAGACCTGTGCTTGGTGATTTGAATGCAAAGACATACCAACGCACATGTTTGAACGTGTTTCTTTGTCTCACATTCAAGCTCCGATGCGGCTAAAACTGCATATGCCTTGAAACTGCACCTAAGATGAAAATAAATGTTCAGTTAAGGTCTGCAACTTAAAGCAATTATTGGGGCCAGTATTTGTCTGTTCACTTTAAGGACCATGATGGCCTGATTGCTGTAAACGGGTTGCTTTTGTCAGAATAATTAAATTCAGTTCAACTTAGTTTAGTTATATTTATATAGCGCCAAATCACAACAGTTTATATTGTAAGGTCTTTAACTTGTAAGTTTTAATTCTTCTAGGGTCTACATTTATAATAATAATAATAATAATAATAATAATAATAATAATAATAATTATAATAATATAATAATAATAGTAATAACAATCCCTGCTTGGAATAACTGAAAATACTGCTCATTTCTCTCTTTCCTTTCTGAGAAGAATGATCAAACATTACTGCCTATGAGTAAAACTATATTCTTTTCTGTGATGCAGAATGTAATGTGTATGATTTCAGGTCGCATAATGTGTTTATCATGCGTGCTAACATATTCATTTTAATTTGTAGTTGTAGTTCCTATGGTCTGATCTACTACCAATTTACCAGAAATTATCTGCTGGACATTCATGAATTTCTTAAATAGGGATATAAATTCCATAAA